CGCCGCCGCCGCCGCCGCCAGCCGCTCAAGCCCCGCCCACGCCACGTCACTCGCACCGGATCGCGACAGCGCGCGCCGCCTGGGGACCCGGCTCGGAGCGGGGGCCTCCGGCGGCGTGGCTTCCGGGCACCAGAGCACGCCGGGGCCCGAGGCGATCTGCGTGCCGTTAGGAGCAGCCTCCGGCAGGCCGCGCCGGGGACCCCCGCGGACTGTGACTGGGGTCCGGTCACCCTCACCTGGGGTGGCCACTCCCGGACTCTGCACGCAGCCACTTGAAGCCCGTGGAGATGCTGCCGCGTGGAGCTCTAAAGGGTCCCCACGCTCCGTCTCCTTCTTGGCTTTTGGTGGGGACTCCACATCCAATGGGACCTCAGCCAGTTCACACAAAGACCGCTGGACCGCCTCCCCGCGGGGCTGCCCAGCCTTCAGCCTATGGAATCGAGGGAGAAATGCACACCCGGGACCTGTGCTCTGCCATTCAGACTCACTCCGACCCTGGGAGGCCCGGGGCTTTGTCCTGGTCTCGCCCAAGCCTGCTGACACCCCCTCAGGGAACAGCCGCCTCCTCTATCTCCCTCTAGGTTATCTTCTTCTTTGCTAGCGCGGGCGCTCCGGCTAAGACCTGCTTTTATATTCCACTGGACCCTCTAACCGACCTGTCTGGTAGGGATAAATATATTCCAAAGAGACAGTAGTGCTCTCCTCTTAGGCTATCAGACTTTAAAAAAAAAAAAAATGGACCCCAAGAAACCACTATTTCCTCCAGGAATTTCCTGCTAGGAGAGGAAGTGTCTGAAGCATCAAAGGAGGGACTTACCTCTTGCAGAAAGATTTATCACTGATCAGATGGACCTTCAAAGAGAGACTTGGAATTCACAAGGGACTACATCTGGTTTCCGAACTTCTTGTTTAAGATTTAAACCCTATCCTGGGAGCAGAAGAGATGACTCAGTAGTTAAGATCACTGGCAGAGGGAGGGAATTTTAATTCCCAGCACCCACGTGATGTAACCACTTGTAACCCTAATTCTTGGGGATCCAAGCACGAATGTGGTACATATGCACGCAGGAAGGCAAAAACATACACACATAAAAAGGTAAAATAAATCTAAAAAAAAAAAACAAATTTAGCAGGGCTTAGTGACACCTGGCTTTAATCTGAGCCCCCCGGAAGGCAGAGGCAGGTGGATCTCTAAATTCAAGGTCAGCCAAGGTTACACAGACATCCCCACCCACCACCCACCCCGTCTCAAAACAAAAGCAAAGAATAAAAAAATTTAACCCCCCCCCCGGAAGTGGAACAAGTCTTTAAGCTCAGCGTTCGGGAGGCAGAGACCTCTGTGTATTTCAGGCCAGCCTGATCTACTGAGTGAGTTCCAGTTACACAGAGAAAACCTATCTTGAAAAATGTAAATAAATCCTATCTTCATATCAGGATTCCCAAAAACCAGGCTTGGGGGAGTCACTGAATCTTTTTGTCCCTCTTCCCAAAGTGAATTTATTCACATTGAATAAATCTCCTTCTGCTTTTCACTATTAATTTAGCTCCATTTATCAGTTTATTATGTGTGGCTAAACTAGTTGGTTGGGGAACATGCTGTACCCCAAAATGTGGTACCATGATCTTCTTGTCCAAGATTCACCACACTCTGACTGCTTCCCGGTCATTTTAGCCAGGTGTCCTGGTTCAGGCACTCAAACCCTTACTCCCATTCACTCCGTGGGGAATCTGGAAATGAACGGCATCTGAACCTCTCTCTTCCCAATCTACATGCCAATCCCCAGCCAGCTGCCTCAGAGTCCAACCTGCGGCACCTGCCACACACACTCCATTCCCCACCCAAAATTACTTAAAATACTGTGAGATTGGTGGGGGTTTTACATGTTTGTTTTGTAAACTGATTTTGAAATTCTACAAAGTGTGAACTTTTGTAACGTGATTGGATTGTTCTAAGTGCAAAATTTGTAATGACTGGGCTGGGGAGATGGCTGAAAGGTTAAAAGCGCTGGCTGCTCTTCCAGAGGTCCTGAGTTCAATTCCCAGAAACCATACGGTGGCTCACAGCCATCTATAATGAGATCGGACGCCTTCCTTCTTCTGGTGTGCAGGGATACATGCAGATACAGCACTCATATACATAAAATACATAAATCTTAAAAAAAAAACTCTCCTAAAACCTTCCTTTCTACTCCCTGATGAATGAAAGTGAAGACATGACCACTTCTAGGCATGGCTGAAGAGGTTTTTATTGTAGATACAAGGGAGGGCACAGCCAGAGGGATCTGGAAGACTCTAGACTGAACATGGCCAGCAGAACAGACCCGGCCATGAGATGAGAGGGAGTGGGGGAGAGCAAGAGAGAGAGAGAAACAGAGAAAGACAGATGGACAAGGAAACGAGCTGAGGACTAAGAGGCCAAGAGGGCACATGGCCAAAATGGCTGGGTTTATCTATAAAGAGAAGCTGAGGGAAGGAAAGCAGCTGGTGGGGGAGGGATCAGGGTAGGGGACAAGGAGGGTGGTGAGAAGGGCTGAGGTGCCAGGACTCTTGACTGGGAGGAACGGTTCTGGGAAAGCCTGGCAGTCAGGGTCTGATGTGGTATGTCAAAAGGCATCTCAGTTAGCCATTTGTCCCGAGCTGAGACTTAACACCTATAGACCTATAGGATGACAGTCCTTGAGAAACCCTTGTTGGTGCCATCCCTTTTTGTATCCTCTGCTTAGAACCCTAGAAAGGCCTCTGATGCAGGCTCAAGAGGGCCCTGAGATGGATGGTTGGGTGTGTGGAGTTTATCAAAAGAGTCATTAACACCATGGACAACACAGACAGACAGACAACAGCCTGGCAGGGACTCTGGGGCGAGTTCAGGCTCCAGCATCAAGAAAGAGCATGGTAGAATATCTAAAGAAACCAACAGGTGATCTCTTGCACCACTCTGAGGATGAGGGGGGTTTCCCAGCACAAGCCTGCAGCCAGACCCTCGGATACCCAGGCAAGAGGCAGGGTAGAGGGTGGGGCAGCAGGATATGAGGCCACCATTACTCCTTTGATGTAAACTCCCTGCCCCATGGGAGAAACCCTGTTACCTAGAGCTCCACAGACAAGGTGTCAGGACAACGCCTGTTGGTGTTGGGGGTATGTGTACAATAGGTATTGAAGCCTGGGCAGCAGCTGGATTCCCTTACATCCTTACACACCTCTGGAAGTGTAAGTGAATCTGCATATATTTAGGTCAGTTGAGCTTGATCCAACACGCCCTCCATTCAGTGACAGCCACCCATTTGTCCTTGCAGTAGCTGCATAGAGAAGCCTGCTGACTTTCATCCAGATCTCTGGCTTTGCTGTCTCACATTCACATATAAAGCTCATCAGTTGAAAGCTCACGATGTATAAGACACAGGATCAGAGGTTTTCCAACATCAGCATGCATTCTTGTTCTACAGGAGTATCCCTGCAGGATATATTTATTTATCCTCATTAATCAGATAAGGAAGCTGAGGCTGGGGGGGGGGGGGGCTGGAGAGATGGTTCTGAGGTTAAGAGCCCTGGCTGCTCTTCCAGAGGTCCTGAGTTCAATTCTCAGCAACCACATGGTGGCTCAAAACCATCTGTAAGGAGATCTGGTGCCCTCTTCTGGCCTGCAGGGATACATGCAGGCAGAATACTGTATACATAATAAATAAGTGAAGGAAGGAGGGAAGGAAGGAAGGAAGGAAGGAAGGAGGGAGGGAAGGAAGAGGGAGGGAGGGAGTAAGGAAGGAAGCTGAGGCTCAGGAAAATTGGCTGATGCTGGTGGAGTGCCTTCTCTGCATCTCTGAAAATGAGGCCCCAGTAGAGCTCAAAAGAGGTGGGATGACACTTGGGCTGGTGCCACAGCTGGGCTTCTATGTCCTCAGCTCATTCCCCCCTCTTGACCACCCCTTCCTTCCAGGTCTGGCTAACTCTGCAGTCTGTACCTGGTACAGCGAGGCTTAGATCGCCCTCTAGTGGCCCCAGAGTATATCAACACCTGGAGTCTAGTCTGACCAGCTCAATTGGGAAACTGGTCTTGGAACTAACCATCTTCAGTGGCCCCAGGTTCTACACCACAAGTTCAGGCTGGGGCCCAATCCCTCTGCACGCTTCCCCATCTCAGACACTCCCTTCATCCGTCCATCTCCACGTGCTCCCATGTCTTAGTCATCATCTCCTCACATCCCTCTTTGCCCGTCCTAGGCTTTTTTTTTGGTTTTTCGAGGCAGGGTTTCTCTGTGTAGCTTTGTGCCTTTCCTGGGACTCACTTGGTAGTCCAGGCTGGCCTCGAACTCACAGAGATCCGCCTGGCTCTGCCTCCCGAGTGCTGGGATTAAAGGCGTGCGCCACCACCGCCCGGCATCCGTCCTAGTCTTAACCTCTCCCCCTACTAGGATCCTTGAGAACAGGAGGGCTCACAGGGGTCCACGGACTTCCGTGTCTTTCTCCTGGGTTTTCAGGGCTAGCAATCGTTTCCTACCATCTGAAGCCACGTTCTAAGCCGTCGTGTGGTGACGCTGAGCTGGTCGGTGCCTGATCTCTTACTGTGACCTCCCGTCCAGACTCAGGAGGCAGGGAGACAAGATGCTGAATCTAAGGAAGGGCGACTTCCTGAAATGACCTTCAAGTTCAAAAGACGCTGAGACCAGAAGCTGAGGGAAGACAGAGGCTGGAGAGCCCAACCACGCTCATCTGCAGGACCACCCTTTATCCCCACCATCAGCTTTGGGACATCATTTGGGGACTGCTGATCGGGCAGAAGCAGGGTGAGGACAAGAGCCCAACTCCAAGAGATACAGCTCTGGGTCTGTTTCTTGGTCCCAGTGGAGAAATGGATTCCAGAGGAGACAGGAGGGTAAAGCAAAGGCAGAGCATAAGGCTGAGACCCCGGCAAGTCCCCAGCCAAGCGGCAGCCCAACTGCCCACCTCTATAGCACCCTCATACTTCACACCTCCCTCCTCCCATGCACAGCGCAGAACAGGGCACCTTACAGCATCCAGAATACTTTTATTGCCAAAATCGAGGTACAGCTGGGTCAGCGCCCAGGCGAGGGGCACACCACCCGGGTGAGGGATAGATGCTGGGAATGTGCTTAACAAGGGAAGTCCAGTGCCAGAATCATCATGGGAAGGCAGTGTATGCAGTCCAGCCTGAAAGTGGTTTGGGGACCCCAACCTAAAAGCTGACCCAAGTCTCAACCTACAGTCAGGCTCACTGTCCCTAAGACAGGCCCAGATTCACCAGCCCTGCTGTCCCACAGAGATCGTGCAGCATCCCTGGGGCAAGCAAAAAACCCCTAGCTGGGACGCTATGCTCCTAGCTCTCTCGGGGACCCTTTCAAGTCTCTGGACAAATTCCTGCAAGCTAAAACCCATTCAGCTGCCTGGTGGGAGCACGTGTTGGGCAGGAACTCTACCACCTCTCAACCCTTGTGCCAGCCCAAGTGGGTGGCAGAAAGACCCTACAGCAGGGTGCAATATGGTGGTGGAGTTCTCAAGAAGGCGGCTCAGGGAAGCTCTGAGTAACCACGGTTGTTCCCTTGAGCTCCCTTTCTTCCCAAGTACCCAGCTAGAAGGTCGTGACAGGAGGCCCTGCTCTCCTTAAACTATAGTTCCCAGAACCAAGAGAGCCAGCTGCAGCGGGGGGATCCACATCACAACCAAGGAGCTCAGAAATCCCAGGGCATGGCCACCAGAATTGAGGGGCCCTCTGCTGCCCAATCCAGTACTAGGAGTAGGATGCCGCCAGAGGTGAGAGGTAGGAGCGGAGTCTAAATATCCCAGGAGGAATTATGGAGAACACAACAAACCGCCCTGCCTGCAGGGGTGCTGGACTGCCTCCAGGAAGCCACACTCAGGATATCCACAAGTGAGGTCACAGGGAAGCTAGCAACCCCAGCCAGTAGGCTACCTGAAGCCAGTGTGTGGGAAGGTCACCTGAGGGTCACTGTGGAACCTTCCAGGGCAGGACCTCAGCTCAGTAACATCCCTCACAGTAAGGTTAGGGCCCGAGCTGGGGACTGGGGTGAGGAGTCACTCAAGCCAGCCCACAGAGCCAGTCTGAGGTCTCAAGTCCATCAGTAGCAGCAATCTTTCCATCAAACGTCCTTTGAATCCACACTTCTCTCTTCCTTCTTCACTGCCAGGATACACAGGAAGGCTGAGAAACAGTATTCCCCTGAGGCAGATGCCTCACAGCCTAGGACCTAGGACCTTAAATATTGGTCACGAACTTTACCAGGCTTCTAGGCCATGAAACAGTCAGAGCCCAAGAGCAGCTCCATGGTCCAGCCATCCAGCAGCCCTGCTTGGCACAGGACTCAAGGCTCAAAAAGCACGCGTTTCAGATAAGCCAAGGTGGTGGCATTGGCTAACATCTCAATGTGTTCACTTCCTGGCAGCTCCTGCAATGACACTCGGTGCTCCTGGTGGCTCTGCCAGGCCTGGCACTGCAGGGCATTCTCCACGTTCACAGTGCCGTCACCATCACCAAAGCAGATCTTCGGGTCACGATCGGGAAAGCTCTCGTAGTAGAAAGAGTCCGGTGTGGGGACGCCCGTCCCATAGAGGCAGTGCAGCTCCACCCCAGGTGGCGTCATGGCTGCCACCAGCCCTTCTGTGTCCTGCCGCATGAACCAGCCATCCTCAAATCCAATGTCCCGGAAGAACTGGCGATAGTCCCGGAGTGTGTAGTTAGTTGTGGGTGTGTGCACAAATACCTTCTCAGGTGACCAGGTGTAGTTGTATGGCAGTAGCCAGCTGGTGGAGACAGCGGACCGCTGCTGCTCCCGGATCTTCAGAGGCCCAATAACAGGGATTCGATTGTTGTCTCCTGGAAGGGAAGGGCTCAGATCAACCTGCGCCAAGGGAAGCAAACGATATGGACAGCAGGTTCATCAACCCACCAATGGTCAATACTCCAGAATCTTAGACTGTTGGCCGCCATCATGATCCCCATCTCTGCACCACTGGCTTTTAGTTCTTTTTCTTTTCTTTTTCCTTTCCTACTTTTTTTTTCTGTATGTGGAAAGCATACAACCATATCTTCATGTTCCTTATGTATTTCCACACCAGAGATTCAGCCAGCACTTGCCTCCCCCCTTAAGCTATTTATTATGTTTGCTTATCTATAAAGGGCACCCTGCTCAGCGTTTATCACCTGTGGGCACTAGTCTTATCTAAGGTGAAGCAGCAGGTCAATAGGCCTGGTAGGGGTTTGTTTATTTGTTTGTTTTGTTTGATCACATTGAACTGTATACTTGCCTTTCTTTTCCTAGATCCAGACCAGCATTCAGCCAGTCTGGTTTCATCCCTCCCATCTAAAAGCCTGGGCACTGGCCCAGGAGGCCAGATTTGCTGGAAGCAAGGCAATGGGGTGGAAATCTGCAGCTGGAGTCAGCTCTTCCCATTAGCCAATGAGACTTGTAGGGCCGGAGGCAACTTAGAAAGGAGTTACTACTTGTTCAAGTACTACCATCACCCATTATCCAATACTCTGAAAGCAGCAGCCCTTTTTGGCTGACCCCAGGGTCTCAGCTTTGCCTGCTGCCTCTAGAATCCTCGGGGAAAGGGACCCCCCCCAGGAGTCTGTGGATTTCTCTCTCTCCCACTCCTGGTTTTCTAGGGTTGACAGCAGTTTCCTAACAACCGAGGTAAAGATTTAAGGGGCTTTACAGGAAAGTTTTGAGATGGTCAATGCCTGAAATCTTACCATGACTCCCCATCAAATTCTGAAGGTACCCACATGGCTCCCTGTAGGCCCAGGAACAGCAGAGCATAGGACTGTGATGAATCCTCACTGTATCTAAACGTCTGAGCCATGAGCTCATTGTCCACTCAATTCAGGATCACTACCAGGAGAAATCTTGAACCTGACCTGACTGTAGCGTTCATATGAGCAAGCAGGTCAGGCAGTACCAGTGAGGGTAGGCAGAAAGGGAAAAGTTAGGAACCCTGAGATGGTCCTGGCTCACAGTCCCCCAGTGAGGGGGCCCCAGGGCTACCACTCAGTCATGGTAGAAGGAGGTAGCCTCTTCCTGCACCAGGAGGCCCTGCCCCATGGCTGCAGATGATGGATCCTACAGTCATAAAAACAACTGGAGAAGGACCAAGGGAGGGTTGACTTTCCCAACTGCCAGGCAAGCAGACCCAGCCAGACCCACACCTGCTTCCTCCCTGTACTGCCAGCCCGCAGAGGCAGATGAAACTCATAAACAGGAAATGACTGTCAGCCTTCCTCCTGGGTGGAAAGTGGGGATGGGGTAAGAAAGACTTGAGGGGCTGGAGAGATGGCTCAGAGGTTAAGAGTACTGGCTGCTCTTCCAAAGGTTCTGAGTTCAATTCCCAGCAACCACACTGTGTTTCACAACCATCTGTAATGAGATCTGGTGCCCTCTTCTGGCCTACAGGCATTCATGCAGGCAGAACACTGTATACATAATAAACAAAGATCTTTAAAAAAAAAAAAAAAAGACTTGAGAAGGGACCTCAAAGAACTGTGGGTCAAACCCTTCTGCTAGGTCCTCAGCACTGTGTGTATGTGCACATAAGCAAATACTGTGTGACCAACAGTTACGCCGCTCTACACACAGTATTACAACAGATCACAGAGATTACAAGGACTGTCAACTGGAGGGGAGAGACTAGGATACTATTAGATTTTCTTACATTGCTTTCTTTGGGTGAGTGGTGTTTCAAGACAGGATTTCTCTGTGTGTGGCCCTGGCTGTCCTGGAACTGGCTCTGTAGACCAGGCTGACCTAGAACTCACGGGGATCTGCCTGCCTCTGCCTCCCAAGTGCTGGGAATAGAGGCGTGCACACCACCGCCCCACAATTGTTTTTTTTTTTTTTTTAAAGTGTGTGTGTGAGTGCCACAGTGTGCATGTGGAGGTCAGAAGACAACTCTGGGGGTTGGTTTTCTCCTTCTATCATGTAGGGTTCTGGGGACCGGATTCAGGTCCTCAGACTTGGCAACAAGGGCCTTAGCCTGCTGAGGCTCCTCACCAGCCACAGCATTAGATTTTCTTTTGGAGAAAAAATACTTGTTTTTCTTTTTAATTGATTATTGTGTGCATACGGTATGTGTGAGCACACATGTCATGCCTGTATGTTGAGGTCAGATGACAAATTTGTGGAACTGTTCTGTCCTTACACCTTTATACTGGTTCTGGGGATTGAACGCAGATCGTTGGTCTTACATAGTGAGTTCCTTTAACCACTGAGCCATCCCACTGGGCCCCCCCAAAATGAAATAGAAAGGCACTCTGGAGAAAGAAGGGTGTTAGTCCAGGATGGAGACATGAAGGATGATGGCACAGCATAGACCACAGAAGGAGGAGGCATCCCTGGGAACAACCGCCATCCATGAGGGAGCAGGGAGGGCTTACCTGAGGCCAGGACACGCAAGGTCTTGGCCACGCCCCCCCAGGGCGCACCCAGTGAAATGAAGGCATGGATATACTTGTCCTTCCAGGCCTGAGGCTGCCGCTGCAGGAAGTAGAGCGTGTACATGTTGCCCATGCTGTGGGCGACCAGCACCACGGGGCCCCCATACATCTGGTACATCTCCTCGATCGTCTCTCGGAGGGCCAAGAAGTAGGGCCCATTTTCATCTGCAGGCCAGAGCCAAGCAGGGGGTCAGGCTAGAAGAAGTGTCCTGGGACCTGGACCACTGGCCAATCCACAGGCCAGACCCAGGACTAGGGATGCAGAGAATGTCGGAACCTAAGTAGGAGCACACTAGTTCCCCCCAAAGGTTCATGAAGAGAGGACCAAGAGACTCATTTTGCCCCTCGGTCTTATCCTCTACCCCTGCCAAGCCTCAGAGGGTCCTGGGATGAATGATAGGAAAGGACAAGGCAAGACCAGTCAGAGCTGGTGGCTGTGGCCGCTGCACCGGATGCCAGAGGCCCAGATGGAGGGAGAGCCCAAGGCCTATTAGTGGCTGAGACTACCTTATCCCTGCCTCCTAAGCCCCTCAGGGACAGAAGAGGGGTAGGGGTGGAGGGGATTTCTTACTTGGAGCTCGGCGCCAATCATAGGGAGCCCCTCGGAGATCTTCGCCCCGTGTATAGCCCCAGCCCACAAGGCTCTCTACCATAGTATAGAAATAGGAACCTACAGACAGAAATGCATAGAATTACATAAAATATACGCAGTGTTAGCCACCCACAGCACACCCACAGAGACTGTAACTTCTGTCTCCCTAAGAAGAGGTAAAGGGATCTGTGCCCACAAATCAAGGGCTAATCCTTGAAAGCAATGTAGTACTTCCCACATTCTAGAAACCCAGCAGAGCCCAGAGCCCCCAGCGACATGCCCTGAAGACCCCGAGCTACATACCCACATTCCTTTTGCTGGGGTCTAGGAACTCCAAAGAGAATGTTTCCCCAAAGCCAGGGACACGCACATCCACGCCATCAGGAAACTGGGTGGCCCGAGTTGTTCTGTTGTAAACCAGCCTGCCAGGAGAAGATAACCGGTTGGTAGCTCGGAGGCACCACCGGGCTTAGTATGTCTCAATACCGTCCTGTGACCTTAGCCACACTGCAGTCTCACTCCCTGGTTTGGTCAGAGGTATAGACGGGATGAAAAAGTAACAACGCAGGCTTACAAAACAGAGCTAGCAGGGCGGCGGCGGCGGCGGCGGCGGCGCACGCCTTTAATCCCAGCACTCGGGAGGCAGAGGCAGGTGGAGCTCTGTGAGTTCGAGGCCAGCCTGGGCTACCAAGTGAGTTCCAGGACAGCCAAGACTGTTACACAGAGAAACCCTGTCGCAAAAAAACAAAAGGAAAAAAACCGAAACAAATAGACTTGGGAGGTAGAGTTAGGAAGATTAGGCAGTCAAGGTTATCCTCATTTACATCTAAGTTTGAGGCCAGTCTGGGCTCAAACGATCAAGCAAAAAAAAAAAAAAAAAAACCCAACAGAATAACAAATCTAAATGAGAACTGCACCGAGCCTTACTCCAGACACTAATCACAGGGGCCCCTGCCAGAGCAATCCCCTTCTCCCGGGTCCCCTCACCTAGAATGGGGGTCTTGGACTAGGCAGAAGCAGTACCAGTTCTAGCTATGTCAACACCATACTCGACCTCAGGAGGCAGCCTGCTCTTGTTGGGGCCCATCCCTATGGGTTCAGTGCCTGCCATCCCTCCTACCACATCGGCGCAAAGCCTGTGGTGAGTGGTGCACACATCAGACACGGCCACCTCAGGGCCTGAGCACTGTGGCTGCTGTATAAACGGGCGGGAACCAGGGCGGACAAGGTCCAGAGGAATGACGGGGGCAGGTGGGGAGAAGCAGGAGAACAGCTGTGCTGCAGATCCAGATGGGTCCAGGTGGATCCCGGAGTGCCTCCCGCAAGCCATGCCATCCAAAGAGGAAGGGAATGAACATGACCTGCTCAGGACTCCAGGGGCAGACGGCCTGCCAGCAGCCACAACATCCAGGGCGTGCCCACCAATTCCTAAATGCAGTGGTGGAGACTGCCAGCTTAGGCAGTCCTTGGTTGCTGTGTAACAAACGACCACAGATTCAGCAGCTTCTAACTCGAGACACTATCATTTCATTGCTTCTATGGCTCCAATGAAAAACAGAACCAAACTCAGGGCTGCTTCTGGTGGTCCCGAGTCCTACTCTCATTAAAGATCAGTTACAGAGAGACCTGGAGAGACGGCTCTGTGGTTAAAAACACTTGTTGCTGTTGCAGAGGACCCAGAGTTCAGTTCTCAAGTACCCTCATGGTGATTCACAGCTGTCTATAACTCCAGCTCTAGAGGATTCGTCCACCTCTTCTCCAAAGGTACTGCACACACCTGGTACACAGATACTCAGGCAGGCAGAAAATCCATACACATAAAAAAAAAATTTAGACCAGGCAGTGGTGGTGGTGCACACCTTTAATCCCAGCACTCAGGAGGCAGAGGCAGGTGGATCTCTGTGAGTTCGAGGCTAGCCTGGTCTACAAAAGTGAATTCCAGGACAGCCAGGACTTTTACACAGAGAAACCAAAAAAAATAAAAAAATTTAAAATAGTTAAAAACAGAAAAAAAAAAGCAGTCACAGAAAGCTGACAGGATTGTCAACCCCAACATTGATCTAAATGGCGGGGCCAGGGGCCGCCCTCACCGGCGGATAATCCGCAAAGTGCAGAAAACGCTGGTGGAAAGTCAAGGCAGCTTTGTGCAGGATGAAAATCTAAACAGGTCAGAGGAGCAACCAAGACAAAAAAGCTCCTTTCAACATCAACCTGTGCCTCCTTGGCAGCACCTGAGGCCACGTGTCTCCAGGACAGAAATAGAAATGCAGATCAACAGCCCAGGAATAGCTGCAGTCTCACACACACACACACACACACACACACACACACACACACACACACACACACACACACGAAAAGTCAATGAAGAGGCAGCAGGAACATGCAGGGAAGGGCTGGGTCCCCGGGCGTCAGCTAGCGGGTCTCTGGGAAAAGCTTTTAATTGATGAAGTTCTAATCAGCACCAACATTTCCCAGGCACCAGCTACGTTCTTTGATTCAGCTGAGCTTTTCTTTTTTTTTTTTTTTTAATTTTATTTTTGGTTTTTTTGAGACAGGGTTTCTCTGTGTAGCTTTGGAGACTTTCCTGGAACTCACCCTGTAGCCCAGGGGCCTGCCTCTGCCTCCCGAGTGCTGGGATTAAAGGCGTGTGTCATCAACCCCCAGCAATTTAGCTGAGCTTTTAAGACACTTGTTGTGGGGCAGGCAGTGGGGGTGGGTGGGTGGCACACGCCCTTGATCCCAGCACTCAGGAGGCAGAGGCAGTTAGATTTGAGTTCGAGGCCAGCCTGGTCTACAGAGTGAGTTCCAGGACGGCCAGGAATATCAAGAGACCCTATCTGGGGGGGGAGGGGGGGAACTTGGTGCTCTTGCAGAGGACCTAGGTTCAATTCCCAGCACCCACATGGCAGCTCATAACCATCTGTAACTTCCAGTCCTAGGGGATCTGATGTCCTCTTCTGACTTTCACAGCACCCAGCATACACTACACTTACATATATGCAAGCAAAATACTCATACACATAAAATAATAAAATAAATCTAGAAAAAAAAACAAACCAGAAACATAGTCTCTGCCTTTAGAGATTTCTGTCTGGGAGGGGACATTAGAATAATACAATTCTGAGTTTGAATCATCTCTGTGATTTATCAGCTGAATGAAATAGCTGTAGTCAATTTAATATATAAATTCTTTGAGCTTCCGGATTTCCTTATCTACAAAGCACATTTGTTGTTTTGAATGTTGTGATTCTGGGGATCAAATTCTAAGTCTTATTATGATAGACTAAGTTACACCTTCATCTCCTGTGAAACAGGTTTAAAGATAATACCGGTTCCAAGGACTGCCTCAAGACTAAATTAAATTCATCATTCGGCAATTTTCTTATGGTGCAGCCCTCAAGAGTGTTCTAGTAGAAATCTAGATAGTGTTAGACACTCATTCAAGTGTGCTCTTGACACAATACGCAATCAAGAGACATACACACATGAGAAGACAGGACTGATAAAACACACCTGTGATCCAGCATTCAGGAGGAAGAGCCAAGACTGTCAGTTCCAGCCTGGGCTACACAGTGGACCCTGTCTCACAACCCTTTTTTTATTTAATTGTATGAGTATAACTTTTTTGCCTACATGAACATATGTGCACCACATGCATGCCTGGTGCATGCAGGGGTCAAAGATGGCATCAGATCCCTTGGAACTGAAGTTATAATGGTTGTGAACCACTATGTGAGTTCTGGGACTCGAACTTGGGTTCTCTGCTGTGATTTTATCTACTGGGCCATCTTACCAACCCCTTTTGTGTTGCTGTTTTGTTGGTCTTTGTTGTTGTTACAAGACCTTACCTGGAACTCCCTGTGTACACCAGACTGGCCTTGAACTCAGAGCTCCACCTGCTTTTACCTCCTGAGTATTGGGATTAAAGGCTGCACCACTAACACAGGCTCAAAATCTTTTTATTTTTTTCCTTTAAATTGAGAGAAAGAAGGATAGAGACTTCTGGTATAATACATAGTAAATAGAGTAAACTTTGTATTTTGTTTTAGTTTTGAGACAGGTTCTTGCTAGTCCAGGCTAGCCTCTAACTCAAAATCTACCTTTCTCAGCCCCAAATCTACCTTCCTTAACCTGATAGGGTTATAAGCAACCTCAGGTAATGGGGGTTTTGTGGTTTTTGCTATTGCTGTTGGTTTTGTAAGTAGAACATTCCAAAATAATAAAAATATGGAGCCAGGAGGTGGTGGCTCACGCCTTTAATTCCAGCACTGGGAGGCTGAGGCAGGTGGATCTCTGTGAGTTTGAGGCCAGCCTGGTCTACAGAACAAGTTCCAGGACAGGCTCCAAAGCTACAAAGAGAAACCCTGTCTTGAAAAAAAAAAAAAAATTCATTTAGGGCTAGAGAGATGGCTCAGCAGTTAAGAGCACTGGCTGCTCTTCAAGAGGTCCTGAATTCAATTCCTAGCAACCACATGGTGGCTCACAACCATCTATAGTGAGTGAGATCTGGTGCCCTCTTCTGGCATGTAGGCAGAACACTGTATACATAATAGATAAATAAATCTTAAAAAAAATAAATAAATAAAAATAAAAATATGGGGGGCTGGAGAGATGGCTCAGTGGTTAAGAGCACTGACTGTTCTTCCAGAGGTCCTGAGTTCAATTCCCAGCAACCACATGGTGGCTCACAACCATCTGTAATGAGATCTGGCGCCCTCTTCTGGCCGTGCAGGTATACATGCAGGCAGAATATATATATATAATAAATAGCTAAATCTTTAAAAAAAAAAGTATAATAAATATCTAAATTTTAAAAATAAAATAAAAATAAAAAATAAATAGAAATATGGTATATAAAATTTGGCCTGGTGGTGGTGGCGCACACCTTTAATCCCAGCACTCAGGAGGCAGAGGCAGGTGGATCTCTGTGAGTTCAAGACCACTTGGTCTACAAAGGCAGTTCCAGGACAGCCAGGGCTACACAGAGAAACCCTGTCTCAACAGCCGCCCCCCCCCAAATAAAATAAAATAAAAATAAGAATTGTAAAGTCAGGTGTTTTAGCACATGCGTTTAGTTCCAGGCCAGCCAGGTCTACACAGTAAAATTCTATCTTAAAAACAGAATGTATGGGCTGGAGAGATGGCTTAGAGGTTAAGAGCACTGACTGCTCTTTCAGAGGTCCTGAGTTCAATTCCCAGCAACCACATGGTGGCTCACAACCATCTGTAATGAGAACTGGTGCCCTCTTCTGGCCTGAAGTCATACATGCTGTATACATAAGTAATAAATAAATCTAAAAAAAAAGAAAAAGAATTGATTTAAAAAAATTTAAAAAAACCAGAATGTATAATTTAGTAAATACATAAACCAGCAACTTGGTCACTTATTATTAGCATCAAGTATCATAATATACCCAGCATGGAGGTGCACGCATTTAATCCAGCACTCCATGGCAGGTGGATGGATCTCCATGAGTTTGAGGCCAGCCTGATCTACACAGTTAGTTCCAGCACAGACAGGGCTGCCTAGTAAGACCCTAAATGTATCATAATTCACTGGGTTGACACATCTGAGTAACACTTGCTACAAAGGTTAGACAGGCTACAACAATATAAGGCCATAGGAAATGTTCGGGTGCATTATCTTTTTGTGGGGGCTAAGGATCAAAACTCCCTGTCCTTTTTAAAATCTATGTGCAATGTTTGTATGTTTATGTAAGTATACATTCGATGACACGTGTTCAGGTGCCCATGGAATCCAGCAACCATCAGCTCTCCTGGAGCTGAGGTTATAGGCAGTTGTGAACCACTCAACACTGGTGCTCAGTAGCAACCTGGGCCCGCTGAAAGAGCCATTACTTCAGCCCCCCACTCCATACATGCTAGGCAAGAGCTACACGTCTAGCCCTTTCCCTATACTGAAGGGAGCACCTCCACCTTCACGTAAACTGTTCCTTTTTTCCTTTTTGTTATTTTTGTTTGTTTTTAGATAGGTTCTCACAATACAGCCCTAGGAATTTGCTCTGTATACAGGCTAGCCTTGAACTCTCAGTGATCTCCTTCTGCCTCCAAAACACTGGAATCCCAGGTATGTTCCACAAAGTCTGACTAATCTGCCCTTGAAATCCTAGCTGTTCCAGAGGCTGATGAAGAACTGAAAGTTCAAGGCCAGCCTGATAATTTATAGAGATCCATCTCAAAAAAAAAAAAAAAATTTTTTTTTTCTTTTTGAGACAGTGTCTTTTTATGTAGCCCTGGCCACCTCAGAACTCACTCTGTAGACCAGGCTGGCCTCGAACTCACAGAGATCCATCCATCTACCCTCTGCCTCTTAAAGGTATGCACCACCACAACTGGTTCTCTCAAAAACAAAAAAAAAGGTTTTGTTTTTGTTTATAATTATGTGCATTGGGGTTTTTGCCTACATGTATATTTATGTGAGCATTCGAGATCCCCTGAAACTGGAGTTACAGACAGTTGTGAGCTGCCATGTGGGTGCTGGGAATTGAACCCAGATCCTACAGAAGAGCAGCCAGTGCTCTTAATCTCTGAGGCATCTCTCCAGCCCCACAAAAAAAAATTTTTTTTTGTTTGTTTGGTTTTTTTTTTGGTTTTTCGAGACAGGGTTTCTCTGTGTAGCTTTGCGCCTTTTCCTGGAACTCACTTGGTAGCCCAGGCTGGCCTCGAACTCACAGAGATTCACAGAGATCCTCCTGCCTCTGTCTCCCGAGTGCTGGGATTAAAGACGTGCGCCACCACCGCCCAGCACAAAAAAAGTTTTAAGTTTAATTTTTTTTAATCAAATGTATGTATTTGTTCAATTGTGTGTGGATGTGTGTCACAACATACATGTGGAATTTGTTTTTTAAGAATATGGGTCTGATTCAGCGGCAGCCCAAATTTGGGGCTGGAAAGCAAGTTCCAGGACAGCCAAGGCTACACAGAAAAACCCTGTCTCATATTGCTGGGCAGTGGTGGTGCACGCCTGTAATCCCAGCACTGGAAAGCAGAGGCAGGTGGATCTCTGTGAGTTCGAGGCCAGCCTGGTCTACAGAGTGAATTCCAGGAAAGGCACTAAAACTACATGGAGAAACCCTGTCTCAAAAAACAAAACAAACAAAACAGAGAAACCCTGTCTCAAAAAAAAAAAAGAGAGAGAGAGCAAGAAAAGGAAGATGGGGCTAGTAAGTTGGCTCAGTAGATAAAGATACTTTTCACAAGGCTGAAGACCTAAGACCTGAGAGTTCAATCCCTGGAACCAACATGGTGGGGGCAAAGAATTAATGCTCTCAGATTGTCCCCTGACCTATACACTCATGCCATAACATGTGTACCCACCCTAAATGATGTAATCTTCTTAAATAAATAAATAAATAAATAAATAAATAAATAAAGGAAAGGACATGGGCTAAGAGCACTGGCTGCAACTGGGCAGTGGTGGTGCAGGCCTTTAATCCCAGCACTCGGGAAGCAGAGCCAGCGGATCTCTGTGAGTTCGAGGCCAGCCTGGTCTACAGACTAAGATTCAGGACAAGCACCAAAACTACACAGAGAAACCCTGTCCAAAAAAAAAAAAAAAAAAAGATACTTTGTATAGGCCAGATGCAGTGGTCCAAGCCTTTAGTCCCAGTACTTGGGAGGCAGAGGCAGGTGGATTTCTGTGAGTTCCAGGCCACCCTGTTCTACATAGTGAGTTCCAAGATAGCCAGAGATACATAGTGAGACCCTGCTCTGAAAAAAAGAAACAAGAAGATACATTGTATAGTAATTCCAGTCCTAGGGGATGACACCCTCTTCTGGCTTCTGTGGGCATTACACACTGTCATGCCTGCAGGCAAAACACCCATAAACATAAAATAAAGAGAAACAGTTAACTTCAGTTCCAGTAGATTAATGCCTTCCTCTGACTTCTGCAGGCATGAATGCAGTGCATTTATACACATGCTGGCAAAACAATCATACACATAAAGTAAATAAACCTAAAAATAATTTTTTAAAAAGATACATTGTAGCTGGGCAGTGGTAGCACACGCCTTTAATCCCAGCACTCAGGAGGCAGAGGTAGGCAGATCTCTATGAGTTCAAAGCCAGCCTGGTCTACAGAGTGAGTTATAGAACAGCCCAGGTTACACAGAGAAACCTTGTTTCAAGAAAGAAAAAAAAGATACACTGTATGTATATATATAGATACATAAATATGAAACTGTCAAAAATAAAGGATTTAAAAAAAATCACCAGGACCACCAGTCCATCCAGCTAAAATGTTTACTTTGTATCCTCTGAACGCCACTGATATGTTCACACATGTAGGAAATCAATCTCTTCTGTCTATGTTTGTTTGGGTCTTGCGACCGTGTTTTGCTACTTAACCCTGGCTGGTACCCATTCTGTCGCCCAAGCTGGCTTCAACTGTGACAATTCTCCTGCCTCAGCCCCCTCCCAAATGCTGGGATTATAGATACACCACCATACCCACCTTCTTTCTTGTTGACAAACATGTCTGTGGTTAGTAACCGAAGAGGTTTGGGTTGGTTATAGCATAATATGAAAAGCGCCATGGGCTCAGCAGGTAAAGACACGTGCCACCAAGCCTGAGTTAAGTCTCTGGGACCCACGTGGTCGAAGAAGAGAAACGACTTGTACAAGTTGTCCTCTGAGCTCTATACCCACACCCCTGTATACACAGTCAATCATCAATCAATCAAGTTTTTAAAAAGTGAGATCATAGGACACAAAACAGCTTATAACTGTTTAACCAAAGTAAAAATGGTTAGTTTTTGATCCACCACACTAGTAATGAAATTCAGTTTCTATCAGGAAAAAAATGCCAGGCACTCAGGAGGCAGAGGCAAGTGGATCTCTGTGAGTTCGAGGCCAGCCTGATCTACAGAGTTCCAGGACAGGCTCCAAAGCTACACAGGGAAACCCTATCTTGAAATAACAAACAAACAAAAAAACAGAAAAAAATGCAATCCCTTATATTGAATTCGGTAAACACAGTTCCTTGCCAACATAATTTGGTACTTGGTGAGAGTTAAAGGAAGCACATATGGGGCCTGGAGGGAGGGATGGTGGGAAGATTTTGCATAGGGAAAAAAGTCATTTGTTTGGGGAAGGGTGATTTTTGGAGACAGAGTATAATTCTCCTTCCTTGGCCTCCCAAAGTAATAAGATAACAGGTCCACACCACACTCAGCAAATGCCAGGGGTTTTTTTACTTTGTTTTTTTTTTTTTTTTTTACTTTTATATTTTTTATTTTATGTGCATGAGTGTTTGCCTGAATGTATGGTCTGTGCATGTGTTTGGTGCCCAAAGAAGTCAAAAGAGGGCACCAGATCCTCTGGGACAGAAGTTACAGACAGTTGTGAACCTCCATGCGGGTGCCAGAAACCAAAACCTCTAGGGCAGCAGTTCTCAACCTGTGCATTGAGACCCCAAGGGGTCACATATCAGCTCTTCATTACATTTCATAACAGGAGCGAAATTACAGTTACAAAGTAGCAATAGAATAATTTTATGGTTGAGGGTCACCAAGACATGAGGAACTGTATTAAAGGGTTGCAGCGTTAAGAAGGTTGAGAACCACTGCTCTAGGGTTCTCTGCAAGAGCAGCCAGTGCTCTTAATCACTGAGCCAGCTCAAAAGCCAGGTTTTAAAGGGTGAATGGGAGGGGATTTATCAATTAAGGCTATAAAATCAGAATCCCCATGTGGGAAGATTACAATGTGAAAAGATGCAGACTGATGGCAGGAAGAACAAGCAGCTAGAGAGGCAGGTGTGGCCAAGCCTCAGGCAAAGGAAGGGAGGGAGCCACAATGAGTCTGTGGGCAGGGGCTAGCCAAAACAACCTGAGTCTAGGATGAACTGGAGAAGGGAGACAGGAGCAGCTGCAGCAGCAGCAGAAAGTCATGCCTCTGAGAGTGTACAGCTAGTGCGGACCAGACCAGATCAAGGGCTACAAAGCCTAGAAGAGACGGGTACTTCTGCATCTACTGAGGCATGAGAAGGCCTCTGTAGGCCCCCCAGTGGTCCCCCATCTGTGTGTGCCAGCCCCCACCTGATATTGTCAATCCAGCAGTCAATGATAACAGGCAGAAGCAGCTCAAGGTTCAGCCAGAGTGTGAAGTAGCTGTCCGTCCTCTTGGAGCAAAGGTAGTGTACGACCTTTGGCTTGTCCAGCTTTGCTTCCAGCTGGTTACCCAAATCACCAGGCACTGCAGGAAAAAAAAGACAGGCATAGGTCCGAGCCCTGGCAGGCTGGAGACCCCCAAGAACCTTGCAGTTTGCAAAAGAGCCACCCAGAGTAATGGAGGCCACGGCACATCTTTGTAATTCACTCCCGAAGTGGAGACACAATTCCAGGGCTGGAAAAATCAAAAATAGGGAAATGTGACAGAGAAGCCAGGACACCACCTTCATATAGAAAAGCTACTACTAGCCAGGCATGGTGGTGAATAACAGTCATTCCAGGATTTAGGGGCCTGAGGCCAGAGGATCAATCGAGTGCTAGCACAATCTGGACTATACCCTGAGATCCTGTTTCAAAACAAAAACAAGAGCCACATTAACAGGAAAGAAGCCTGCCAGCAGATACCCTGTGAGGCTTAAAGAGAGGCCTGATCTGATATGCTTGTGGGGAGGCCCGGAGCACTCTCTGTGGTGACGTGTAATAAAAATAACCTCCCTAGATCTTCATTGGAACTTCCTCACAGGCCATTCAGAAAGGGGTTCAAGCCAGTCACTTCCTTGAGAAGCTGTGGTTCCCTTCCCCTGAGTGATGTAAGACGTTAGACCCAAGCTGCGCATGTACAGAATCCTAACACTGAGATCTCAGCCTGGATTGCCCTTACATAGACAGAAGGTTAATGGAACCAGATCACACTCTACCTAGAAGGGATTTTGAGACTTATGGAAATTTTCCAGAACCTCCAAAATTTGGCCAATGCTACAGCCCTGATTAGATATGTACCCTCCAGGCTTAAACCAAGCTAAAAAGAAAATCAAGCAGGGTCTTTTCTACCCCCAAGCAGTGGGACACAAGACAGAGTGCTAGGCCAAGAGTTAAATCTAGAGGTGGTATTCTTACGTTTTTTTGTTGTTTTTTTCAACAAGGTCTTGCTGGTATCAAAAGCATGCTTTCCCTGCCTCCAACCTCCCAGATGCTGGGATTACAGGCTTGTGGGAGGGAGGCCGTGATAACACAGTTGAGAGAAGCTTACAATGGTACCAGCAGGCCCCACCAAAGCCCCTAGGCTTTGCTAAAGACAGGAACCTTCCAGAGGGTAGGTTTTGTGGAAGGCTTTAGCATGCTGGAGAGGTGTGTTACAGAAGGCTGAAGTGCAACAACATGCCATACCAGCCACAGGCCGGGGTGTGACCAAGTTCCAAGCATGACTGGATACCACCTTGTCAATCTCTTTGGTCCACACAGACCCTCGGGCTCTGGCAACACCAAACCCACACTCATTCCTTTAATTCCCAGTATTTAAAGCCCCACAATCTATTTACTCCCCTTAACATTACAAGCCGCATGTACCTCCTATAGGCTACACTCTGGACACTTCAGAGAAACAACTCCTTTTAAAGACCCATAGTCAGCTGGGCAGTAGTGGCACAAAAGTCCCAGAACTCAGGAGGCAGAGGCAGGCGGATCTCTATGAGTTCGAGGCCAGTCTGGCTTACAGAGCAAGTTCCAGGACAGCCAAGAACAGCTAAGGCTACACAGAGAAACCCTGTCTCAAAAAACAAAAACAAACGAAAAAGCCGGGTAGTGGTGGCACACCCCTTTAATCCCAGCACTTGGGAGGCAGAGGCAGGTGAATCTCTGTGAATTTGAGGCTAGCCTAGTCTACAAACAGCCAGGACTGTTTGCTGTGGATGACTGATTCATAGATTGGCCAGTAGCCAGGCAGGAAGTATAGGCGGGACAAGGAGAGAGGAGAATTCTGGGAAGTGGAAGGCTGAGGCGGAGAGACACTGCCAGCCGCCGCCATGAAAAGCGAGATGTAAAGTACTGGAAAGCCCTTATTTACACAGAGAAACCCTGTTTCAAAAAATAAATAAATATAAATATAAATAAATAAATAAACCAAAAAAACTCAAACCCACAGTCACTACGAAAGGCCACTTGGCCTTCCTCCCCAGTGACTTTGAACTCAGCACAGCACACGTCCTTGCCTGAGTGTCACCCCAATGTCTTCACAGAATCGTGGGGAGCAGATGAAGACACCTGCTTCATGATGTGGGTGCAAAAGCAGGACATTCCTGGCATGGGAGACTGCATGACATGCCTGTGAGCTGGACATGTGGACTGGTCACTGTCTCCATCCACCAAAGGGAAAATGAGTGAAAGAGGAAGCCACCAGATACCCCTTGCCCTGGTTGGGCTGTGGCTTCTAAAAATAGCAGATGGCCCCTTCCTGAGAGACTTGCTGCCTGAAATCAAGACAAGAGCTGCACACGGAACTTTTACTTCAAATAACACTGGGAAGGGTCATCTTCATATAAATTTTAAATTCACGTTTACTTAGTGTGTATGTACAAACAGAAGTAAGACAAGCGCACACCACAGCATGCGTGGAGGCTGAGGACAGCTTGCCAGAAATGGTTTCATCTGGGGATGGAACTCGGTCTTCAGGCTTGGTGGCAATCCCCTTTGCCCACTGAGCCCTCTTGCAGGCCCTCTTTATATTCATTTAACAGATGAGAAAACCGAGGCTGAGAGGAACACAATGGTTTGCCTAAGGTCCCATCTCCCTGTCCGGGGTCAATTTTCTGACTTCTGATGCTTCTGCCACTAACTCAGGACCCACACTTTGTGCCTAGGAACAGGAATGGCTCTCTGCAGTCTCTGAGTTACCAGCAGCAGCCCCAATCCTTGAAAAGATGAGCAGGTTGAGGGAGCAGATATTCAGATCCCTGTGGAATCTGAGGCTTCTCTGCTATGATGGATTAACGAGAACAGTTAGTACCAATCGATCCAGGCAAAAATACATGGCAAAGAAGCCAGGCACGCTAGTGCACGCCTTTAATCCCAGCGCTAGGGAGGCAGAGGCAGGTGGATCTCTGTGAGTTCAAAGCCAGCCTGTGATCTATAAAGAGAGGACAGAGCTACAGAGTGAGACTCTGCCTAAAAAAAAAAAAGTAGCCAGGCGGTGGTGGCGCACACATTTAATCCCAGCACTCGGGAAGCAGAGACAGGCAGATATCTGTGAGTTCAAGGCCAGCCTGGGCTACAGAGTGAGTTCCAGGACAGACTCCAAAACTACACAGAGAAACCCTGTCTCGAAAAACCCAAAAAAATTAAAACAAAAAACAAAAAAAGCGGCAAACATGTATGTGGTCATCCCAATGCCAAGGCCCTCATTCTTAGAATTCCTTAGGCTCACTCGTGACTTCACACTGGTCCCCAGGGTAAAGTCCAGATGACCCAAGAAGTCACAAGTTCTACATCATACATGCCTCCCCCCAGTTCCATTCCAACCAGCCTGGAACCATCTTTGAACCAACCCTAGTTCCAGCATGCTCCCAGAGGGCTTCCCAGGCACCCATTCACCCAAGCTGACTCTGTGATTCTCTGTGCTGTTCACCCAGACCTCCTCTCTGAGAGCCATCCTGGAAGCTTGGGAAAAGCAGGGTCAAGTGTGTGCAAATCTCCAAGTGAACCTAGAATTCCCCAGACCATTTCCTGACTTAGAATTCCTAATTTTTGTTTTGTTTTTGAGACAGAATTTCTCTGTGTAGCCCTAGCTGTCCTGGAACTTGTGTTGTAGACCAGGCTGTCCTTGACTCAGAGATAGGCCTACCTCTGCCTCCTGGGATTAAAGTCATGTGCTGCCATGCATAATTGACAATGCCTATTGAGGTTTTCCGGCTACCACTTTGACAATCAACACTATCTTTCTCTGATCTGCAGTATCCCTATTAAAATATTCCAAACAGCCGGGCGGTGGTGGCGCACGCCTGTAATCCCAGCACTCGGGAGGCAGAGCCAGGCGGATCTCTGTGAGTTCGAGGCCAGCCTGGGCTACCAAGTGAGTTCCAGGAAAAGGCACAAAGCTACACAGAGAAACCCTGTCTCGAAAAAAACCAAAAAAAAAAAAAAAAAAAAAAAAATTCCAAACAGGCAGACGTGGTGACACACGCCTTTAATCTCAACACTTTGGAGGGAAAGAGAAACAGATCTCTGTGAGTTTGAGGCCAGCCTGGTTTACAAAGTAAATTCCAGAACCGTCAGAGCTGTTACACAGAGAAACCCTGTCTTGAAAAGTCAAAAAAAAAAAAAAAAATTCACAGCAGAAATGCATGTTCCAGCAGAATAAGTATGTAACATATGCATGTCTCTGTTCTCAGGAGTCCTGGCTGGCCACTGAAACATTAGCTTAAGATGAGCGGCAAGTCAAGTCCAAGATTCCCAAAGATTTTATCCTGGCCTATTAGCATAAGGAAACACTGTTGATTCTTGTTCAGCTGCCAGGTCTAGGACCAAAGAGTGAATAGGCAGGGAATTGCACCCGGCCTCAACACCACTTGGAGTAACTAGGTCTTGTAGGGGAGGGCGTAGAGCATGCTCTCCGACTCCCTAACACCTGTTCATGGCTGTTGTCCCAACCCTTTCCTCTGTCTTCCCTTCCCTTAGCCGTCCTTTCTCCATTCCGCCTTCTCCCCCAAAGTCAATGCCATGCATTCCATAATCTGAGAGCAAAGGGAAATTATCTCGGTGGCCAGCAAAGACAGAACTTGCTACCAGCCATGCCCTGAGAAATACAGAAGGGTGAGAGCCTTCTAGGCAGACTCAGACCAATTCTGAGACTATTTAGGAGCCCTCTGGAGTAGGGTTGAACTGCCTCAGTCTTTCCAGATAAGAAATGGGGGCATGTTGAGGCAAGGTTTGGAGCTGATGCAGATAGGTGGAGTGGGAAATCCGACAGTATCTTTTTTCCCTTGCTCTCATATTTTAGAGGGTGGCTGACCACACCCATGCCCAGTATGAAGGGAGGTGGGTTAACCGACCCGACCCAGGTTAAGAGACCCAAACGCTCTGGGCATCGTACTTAAAGCAGATGCACAACAGGGAAGTCAGCCCATCCGACCCTGACTGCACTGGATCCTGCAGTACCCACCCACCGTCCCGCCGCACGCAAGTCTCACCCAGCACCACCGGGGGGTGACGTTGGGCCGGGAACGCCAGGTCTGCTAGCATCATTAACAGAAGCAGGGGCACCAGGAGGCCACTCCGGAGCTGGGTCGCGCGACAAGTGAGGAGATGGCGATCCATGGCGTGAGACTGGCAGCAGGTCCGAGGGACTGCTTTAGTGATAGGGGATCGTGCCTAGGCCGGGGCCGAAGCGTAGCTCTTAACCCCACCGCTCCCAGCCACTAGCCAATTAGGACCCGCCTCTTGCTAAGGCTCTGCCAATTGGAACTCTCCGCCAGGAGCGTTCCTCCCACTCAAGCTCACCACCCGTCCTTGCCCACCCCTGGGCTTGCTGCTAGACTGTGCTGAGCGCCGAACGCATCGATCGACGGATGGGCACCGCCTGGCTCCAAGCTATCCTTCTGCCACTAGACAACCCCACCTCACTGTGTAGCCTACACAGTCCTTGATACCCTAGCCCTCCTACACTCGAGGGACCGAAAAGAGGTCGAGTCAAAAGAGGTCCATCATTTGCTGTGACTGAGCAACCTCTCTAAAAGCAAGGAAAGAGGAAGTGAGCCCTTGAGAGTTCGTTCGTTTTGGGAACTCAGGTGACCAGCAGCTGACCAGGACCTTGGTACAGCCTTCACCCCGGCATCCCCAGGGGCATCCAGTTTTGGCCGCCCATGCCCAGAGAACTTCTACTGTCTGCCTTCTGGGTAGAAATGCAGGTGGGACCCAAGAACTAGGTCCGGGAGGAGCTAGCTCAGCCTGTTCCAAATGAAGGGTCTGTCACTCGGTTTGTAAGTGCGGCACACGGATTAGAATTGGAAGTGGTCTAATATTGTTTCCCCTGCCAAGAACGGGGCTCGGGAGCTTGCCTTGGCACTTTACCCCCTGTCCATGCAAACCTGGGGACTCAAGAAGGGCACAAGCCTTGAGCCAGGAACTGGGGCCAAGGCAGCCTGGGCACAGGCTCAACACTGGTAACAAGCCAACTCTGTGGGGTAGAGTTAACCCGAGCATTTGAGAATCGAACCTCCACACGCTTCCTTCTGAACGCCAGTTGCACCCTTGGGACACTGCTTAGTCCCAAGATTTCTGTTCCACCCTTCACCTCTTCCTTCCCTCTTCTTGGTAAACAACTGACCTGTGTTAAAGTCGGTCATTCTTAGTTTTTAATAGCAAAATGGGAAGTTTTTAAAAAGACTTGTTTCATTTTATGGGTATGAGTATTTTTTGTTGTTGTTTTGTTTTTTGAGACAGGGTTTCTCTGTGTAGCTTTGCACCTTTCCTGGAACTCACTCTGTAGCCCAGGCTGGCCTCGAACTCACAGAACTCACAGAAATCCGTCTGCCTCTGCCTCCCGAGTGCTGGGATTAAAGGCGTGCGCCACCACCGCCCGGCGCATATGAGTATTTTTGCCCACACCTGTGTATGTTCATCACACGCATGCCTGGTGCCTGAAGAAGAGGGTGTCAAATAGAGTTGGCCTGGATTAGAGTTACAGGCGGTTGTGAGTGCTGGTTATAGGTGCTGGGAACGAAACTACAGTCCTCTGCAAGAGCAACAGTGCTCATAACTATTGAGCCGTTGCTCTAGCCCCAGAAAACAGGAAATTTTAAGGCCCACTAACCACAACCTTAGGCCCCACCTCCCCCACCTTAACCTCTGGCGCCGGCAGAGGGTTGCTACAGACTAACCTGGTGAAGGCCCAGTAGAGGATTATAGAGACACTCAGCCAAGGCTAGAGACAGTGCAAAATCCAGAGCCAAGAGGAGGAGGGGATCCGAAAAGGCCTTGGATGTTGGCTAGTACAAACATCTTGCCAAACTAGCCGTCTCAGGTGACCACAGGCCCCCGGGAGGGTGTCACTGTTGTCAACTGGGGTTGACTGGTGTCTCACCTCCACAAGCCCTGAAGGGTTGAGAGTCGGGATTACTGGGGAAAGGATGGCACCAGCTTGTTAGCAACAACCCTTACTCATACAAGCATCAGAAGATGAAACCCGCCCCCTTTTTAAGGCAAAGGCTCACTACATAGCCCAGTGTCTTAGCTAGTTTTATGTCAACTTGGCACAATCAAAAGTTATCTGAGAAGAGGGAACCTCAATTGAAAAAATATGCCTCCATAAGATCTGGCTGTAACCAGCGGTGGTAGTGCACACCTTTAATCCCAGCACTCAGAAAGCAGAGGCAGGTGGATTTCTGTGTGTTTGAGGCCAGCCTGGTCTATGAGTGAGATCCATAGGGCTGTTACACAGAGAAACCCTGCCTCGAAAAATAATAAAGAGCTGAATTGGACAATAGCTAGGCAGGAGAGGACAGGCAGGATTTCTGGGCAGAGAGAGAGGAGAGGAGATGAATCTAGGCATGGGAGAGACACCAGAGGACACGGAGAGGAAAGAGGAGGTGCAAGATCGAAGAGAGGTAAAAAGCCACGAGGCAAAATATAGATTAATATAAATGGGTTAAGTTATAAGAGCTGGTGGGACAAGCCTAAGTTACAGGCTAAGCTTTCATAATTAATAATAAGTCTATCATTTTTTGTGAGCTGGTGGCCCAAAGAAAAATTCATCTACATATGGTGCCCAATGTGGGCCTCAAATATCCAAACATAGGGCCTGAGAAAGCTAAGAAAAGTTCAGGACAAGAAGCCAGATGTGGCTTTCTAGTCCTGTGGTCTCTCATGTGGGCCAGTACTCTGCATATAGAGGTGCTGCTTCCTGCTGCTGCCTGTGGGCTACAGCTTGCAGGCTGGCTGCTAGGACCATGGGCCAGTACCATGTGCTAAGCTGAGCCTCAGGGTAGATGACATGACAGTTTAAGATTTGTCTCATGTGGTCAGAGAATGCTGCAGGTGCTCAGTAAAGACAGATCCAGATTGGGGGGGGGATGGGGGGGGACACGACACTAAACAGGTTACAGTGTGTTTAAAAAATGTGTATAGGCTTAAAAAAGAAAAGAAAATGGGTAGACAGTCATAGAAAAAAATAGTTTAGAACTAATAGGATAAAATCTTTAAAGAAAGAATAAAATAATACAAAGGATAAGCCAAGTAAAGATAGAAAATACATAGAGACTCTGGATCCTATATGGTGTTTTGTTGACTTTGAATTTTTTGATTGCTGATGAGTGAATGACAGCTGCTAAGAGCCACAGGATTGTAAGAGGGACTGCTGAATTAAACCAGCCTAGATACTTTAGGAGTGCCTTAACTTTAAAATGGAAGTCAGAAAATGTATTGCGCTGGGGAAGAGGTTATGCTATTGTTTCCACAGAAAATGAAGGGCTGTGGATCCATTCAAGGTTAAAGAGAATCAGGTTTAATCAGGGGAGACTGCCTGAAAATCTTTTTATTTTATTTTATTTACTTATATTTTATGTATTGAGTGTTCTACATGTTTACCTGAATGCCAGAGAAACCATCAGATCCTATTTTAGATGGTTGTGAGCCATCATGTGGTTGCTGGGAATAGAACTCAGGACCTCTGGAAGAGCAGCCAGTGTTCTTAACCTTCAAGCCATCTCTCCAGCCCATGCCTGAAAATCTTTTTTTTTTTTTTTGAGACAGGGTTTCTCTATGGTGTTTTGATACCTGTCCTGGATCTTGCTTTGTAGACCAGGAGGCTGGCCTCAAACTCACAGAGATCCACCTGGCTCTGCCTCCCACGTGCTGGGATTAAAGGCGTGCACCACCACCGCCCGGCTTGAAAATCTTGATTACAGATATAAAGAAATAAACCTAGAAAAACTACAAGACAGGCAATGTATATTTTACCTGCTCAAACATAAAACAAAATATTATTTTTGGCTGGCTTATGTACAATGCACAGTCCATACTTGTATTAATACAGATATATATGTTACTTTTGAAAGTTTATGTGTTTTTAGAGCAAGGGGACCAGACACCAGTGAAAATGAGTGGCCCAGATCATCAGCCTGTCAGAGTGCCTCTGTTATAATTTCCTCAGAGTTCTACATCCAGAACAACTTCAAGGCTGCTGGCTGAGATGGTCCAGCCTCACAAACTATCCAGCCAGAACTTCAGACCAAGAAGTTCCTCATCACACCAAGACTGGAAAACAGCTAGTTCCCCCAGGACTTGACAATTATCTTAATTTTCTCACAGTCCCCTAAAGATGCCAAATTGCCCTCAGATAACAGGAAGTAATTTTAAGAACACAAGAGGTGGGGTGGATGTTTTTGGTCAGTAGGAGGTTATGGATGTCATCATTTAAGGGGCTTGGTTAAAAGTTGTTATTGGTCATGATCATGGAGGAAACTAAGCAAGGGAGATTACATTCAAGGATCTCTTTCTGAAAAGAAAAAGAAGAGGGGCATAGGAATGATGGGATAAAAGGGCAGATTATTGAATCTATTTTAAACTAAAAAGGGACTATTAATCTCAAATATTTTACATCAGTATGGATTTTTGTATTGATACAAATTTAAGGTTATTTTTGTTAGAACATACTCTATATATGTTTCTGCTCTTGTGTAAGATATTTTTGTATATTGATACAAATTTAAGGCTATTTTTATCATACTGTATTATATGTTTCTATTTCTTATTTAAGGTATTGCACCTATGCAGCTCATTTAAAAATGTGATGTAAAGTTCTAGTCCTTGAAAGCTATTTAGGATAATAAAGAAATACATGTTAGTGGTTAGTCATCCAAAACAATCAAACTTATAGTCATGTTATGTATATCTTCAAGGTCAATCAGAGAAATATTTTAAATAGATAGTCTTTAAAACATTTCAAAGACCTACAGAATATGGCATTTTAATGTTTTAACAACATAGGGTTTTTCTTGACAGTGAGTCACGTCTGCTTCTTGCAGCACCAATTTATTCCAAAAGAGGATTGCAGGCATTGAAAAACCTCCATATGGAGTTTACTTTCATTTGTGGCAAGTTAGCCTCTGAGCTAAGAAACTGCCCTTTGCCTCAACTGCTGACAGAATGCATCCAAATTGGACAATCAAGACATAAAAGAAAACAACTGCTAAACTTTGCCAAGACAAGGTAAGACAGTCCTTCAAAATTCCTGCTTCATAGAAAAGTCTGTCAGATATTTTTTTCTTTGTTGGTTTTTGGTTTTTGGAGTTAGGGTTTCTCTGTATAGCTTTGGAGCCTGTCCTAGAACTCATTCTGTAGACCAGACTGGCCTCAAATTCACAGAGATCTGTCTGCCTTTGCCTCCTGAGTGCTGGGATCAAAGGCATTCGCTACCACCACCTG